TGAACCCCTTGCCCCCATTTCACAAGGAGGGACTCCACACCGTCTATCTGAGGCACAGTGGTCTCCCTAGGACAAAGGCTCTCCCTTATAATGACCGCTACCCCCCCGCCCCTACCCCGGGTCCTCGGCTGGTGGAATGCCTGAAAACCCGGCGGGCAGATGTCTACAAGAGGAACTCCTCCTTCCACGCCCAGCCAGGGGAGATGGTTGGCATAAAAATTTAATAAATATTTAATAAATAAAATAAATAATAGATGTACAAGGTAGCTGGGAATCTTGTATATTTCTTAATGGAAAATATCCCCTGCGTGTTTACAGCATACAGTAATTATACCATTAGTCTGAAAGCAAAAAAAACAGCTTCCTATAGAGCAGACATGTCAAACTCGCGACGTCATGCAACATATCGGGACTGTTTTGCCATTGCCGGCAATGGGGTGGGCGCGGCTTCCACGTGACGCGTTCAGCCTGCAGGCCGGCATTCTGACACCCCTGCTATAGAGTGTCACATACTGTCTTCAATATTTTACTCCTCACAGAAAAGAATTATGCAAAACCAGCTACCTTGCACATCTAAATAAGTAAGTGCAATCTCTGTGCTTCTAAAAAGTTCAGCAGACTTTTTTCTTTTTAAAAAAGAAAGTTAAAAAGTTAAAAAAACAAGAGGACCTGCCCCAAAGCAGGCAGACTTGTCCCAGGCTACTCACTCCAAACAAAAAGAGAAGAACAATGTTTTCTGTGATCTGATTAGAGTAATCCACAGGCTGGTGATGCTAAAACTAGAGGCAGAGCTAAACTAAGACCAGGGTGCTTTTTCTTGTGCTCTATGCTGCTCTCCTACCCCCAGGCTAGGGAAGCAGAAGACCAGCTTTGGCAGAAGCCTGAGATAACTCTGGTAGAAGGCCTTTGTCGAAAGGCGCAAATAAACAAGAATCGCAGTTTTCCAACTGCTGCATCTGAACTTCTAAAGAGGAGCAGACTGAACACATGCCAGAGCTGTAGCCTTGCAGTAAGTGACAGTGCCATTTTTGGGTGAGGGGGCTGAGTTCTGAAAAGAGTGAGTGATGACCCAGGCAGATGGGCCAACTTCAGTCAGATGAGCGATACATTATTTGTATTTATGTCCAAGATCCCAAAAAGCGATGCACTCTTACCTTCCATTGCTTGTTTCATCTTGATCTTTTCTTCTGAAATGTCATTTGTTTCAATCATCTAAAGAAATGTAAAAAAACAACAACCCATAAGCAAACCAATAAACGCTTGGCTTTGGTTAATATGAATTGAATGAAGGATGTGCAGATTTGCATATCCATCAGACATTTTGGATAATGCTTGAAATCATTTCTACTGGAGCTTTTCATGTTTAGGCCTACATGTTCCATCGAATCAGTTTTGACTCCTGGCAACTGCCTGGACAAGTTCCTGAAGCCTTCTTGGCAAGGTTTTTCAGAAATGGTTTGCCATTGCCTCCTTCCTAGGGCTGAGAGAGAGCGACTGGCCCAAGATCACCCAGCTGGCTTCGTGCTTAAGCAGGACTAGAACTCCCGGTCTCCCAGTTTCTACTATGGCGACTTAACCACTACACAAACTGGCTCTCTTCCATGTTTATGTCTTCCACTAATTTATGACAGACATGGCCAGTTTTATACATACTCTCCAGTAAAGGTCTAATGTTTTGCTTTTATCGTATCAAAGTCAATCTCATGAACTATTCAAACAAGCTTTGTAACCTCTGAATGAATAAATGATGCATCTTAATAAAACATACATAAGCTTTCTCTCTTGCACGCAATCAAATTTTGTGGCTTGCAGCAATCAAACCAGAAGTTGCTTAGCTAGCAGTTATCACCTGTGGACTCAAACTGACCTATGAACCCTCAAATCAGTTTCCTGTCTTAACAAAACCATTGTTTCCAGCTTCAACAGAAGCTATATGATATTAAATTCAATTCAAATCATAACTTCATAGCTTGCCTTATTCCAAAGTTGAGAAACAGGGAGTTATGCCATAGCTTTATTGATCGTCCTCAATTTATTGTGGTCATTAAGCAAACCCCTTATTGACTTTGTTTGTCGGAAGCCGTCTGCGAAGTTGCAAATGGCAATCACATCACCTGGGGGATGCTACAACTGGTGTAAATACATCCCAGGTTGCCAAATGCTCCGATTTTGATCACATGATGGTGAAGATGATGTGACAGTCATAAATGCGAGGACTGGTCATAAGTCACTTCTTTCAGTGCCATTGTAAGTTTAAATGGTTACTAAACGAATGGTTGTTAAGTTAGCAGATATTTAAAGTTTGAATTCCTTCCTGTGTTGGATTCCACCAAGTTGAGATTACTGAATGTCTTCGTACTGCAACCATTCAGCTATGTTCAAAATAAGCTCTCTACAGTCCTCTCTATGCTACCATTAGCACATTCTTCCTCTTATATCTCTCAATTTTCTCTTACTTTAATCCTTGAAATAGAATATGGTATCTCCCTTTATAAAAATTGCTTTTGACTTATTTCCCTAACTATGCCTTTCAATGAAACCTCAATGGTTTCTGAGCTTGGTTGTTTTCTTGCAGACATTTCATTACCTAAACTAGGTAACATCATCAGTGCTAATGATGCACTAGCACTGATGATGTTACCTAGTTTGGTAATAAAATGTCTGCAAGAAAACAACCGAGCTCAGAGAGCACCAAGGATTTCTCATTTCAACCCTGAGCTACAAGTATTTTCCTTTAATGAAACCTCATTTTGAAGAATTAATTGGGGGAAGGAGGTCTCCAGAATTCTAAAAAAAATCCTTTGAATCTAAGAATTTGTCAGAAAGTTGTAACTGATGTCGCTTGAGTAACAATGTCATGAAAATAATGACAGAAATAATGACAGAAATCATGCAATTAAATAAATTACAATAATATGATATTATTATGCAAATGATACACACAATTAAATTTGTCTACTGCATGCAAATTCTGGAAAATTAAGCTTTTATGGTTACCAAGATTTAAAGCGATAGACCACCATCCCAGTCTCTTCCTCTTCCTCCTCATGAATAGTTCCTCAATACTCTGAATGAGTTTGTAAATTCTCAAGAGAAGAACCTACTTATCCTATTTCAGTTCATAAGGAACAATAAATGTTGATTAATTTAATTTATGCATTAAATATAGTAAACAAAGTAGAATCCTGAATGAAAATGTCCAGGGTTATTAATTAATCCACCTGCCTTGACGGTGGAACTTCCTTTTGAAGAAATTCAAGCTGCCCCACATAGGGACCAGTTTGGGGGGGGGGAACCATCTAGCTTACGCTGCTTAAATATTGTATTCTTTAACTTAGATCAGTGTTTCTCAACCTTGACAATTTTAAGGCATGTGGACTTCAACTCCCAGAATTCCACAGCCAGCATTGCTGGCTGTGGAATTCTGGGAGTTGAAGTCCACATGCCTTAAAATTGTCAAGGTTGAGAAACACTGACTTAGATATTAATAAGTAAAATAAAAAAGAAAAGAAAAGGAAGGAGCTGTGGCAAATTTATTTTAAAAAGCAATGGCTACTCATGGCCTTTTAACTCAAAATACTCACATTGGTAGGTTGGGAAGAGTGGAGTGGCTCTGTGGAGTGCAATTTATTCTCTAACACAAGAACTTTCTCCTGTAACCGCTGAATTTCCTGTTTACTCTGAAGCTCAGTTTTCTGCAGCGTCTCATAGTCCAGCATCTTTCTCTCAGCCAAGGAGACCTGCTCTTTCAAGAAAGCGATGGCTTGTGCCTGGTCTTTGTAATCACCGTGTAGCTTCTCCAGCTCATGAACTCTGAAGTCAGCATCGCGACACTTATCCTTCAGGTCTTGAAGTTCCATAAGTTGCTGGTTTGTTTTGGTTTCCAACTGGGTCTTCCAATTGTTGTTGCTTTCTTCCATTTCCTCCTTGACGTCTTGTACCTTCAGCTTAAGGCTTTCCTTCTCTTTAATATGAACCGCCATCTCAATCTCGTGCTTGGCTTTTAGGTTCTCCAGCTCTAAATGGTGCTCCAATTTGATACTTTCTACCACAGCTTTCAGCTCCACTATTTCCTTATGCTGGCTGTCAGAGCCTGTGTTCAAAGTAGCCTTGAGGTCCTCCAGTGACTTCTGATGGTCCGATGCTAACGTATCCAGCTTTGACTTCCAATTGTCCATTAAGCCCATGTTCTCATTGGTGGCCTGCTGAACTTTTTGCTTGAGATCCACAATTTCTTGGGAGTACTTTTCATTGAGTGCTTTCAACTTTTCAACCTCCTGCTGGTGCTTCTTCAAAGTCCTCTCATACTTCTCTTTCAGTTGGGTACTCTCTTTCTGGTGCTCTTTGTTGGCTGAAAACAGCTGGTCACGTAAGCGGAGAGTTTCCGTCTGAAGGCCCAGGCTGTGATCTGGAGACTCTGGCTGATGAGAATTCTTTAAACATTGCCGCAACTCCTCAACCTCACTCTGCCTTAAGGTCAACTCTTCCTCGAGCTGAAGAATTCTTGACTTCTCTGCCACGGTAGTTAACTGAAAGAGATTATTAAAAGGATAAAAGCATGCATTAGAATCAGTGCCTGCATTTTCATATGCACTTGTGGGTAACCTGCAGCCCTCCAGTTGCCGTTAAAATGCAGCTGACCATCATCCATCCAAAACCACTGGCTGGGACTGATGGAGTTCAACAACATCTGGATGGCCATAGTTTCCCTGTACCTGAAAATCCGAGAGCTTCTTCACTCATCGTGGAAACTTTCTTTTTTTAAAGTATATTACTGTATTATATAAGATCTTTTAGGGATGCATAAAAAGTGTTAGCCAGCCC